ATACCAATTGCAACAACTGCACCATCATGCTCTCTTGAAGTTGATCTGACTCCTTCACAGTTTGTTAGCATTCCATCAGTCTTAAATACTTCCACCAATGTTCATCCAATGATTACAAGGTCTAAACTGGCCGAGATACACTCTTTCCCTGAAAAGTCATCAATTCAACCCTCCATCTAGCCTACACATCAAATTACAGGTTTAACTCAACCTAAAAATCACCATACAGCTCTTATACTTACTAGATCAGTTATACCAGAACCAAATTCAGTTCAAGAAGCCTTGAAGAATACTGAATGGAAAACTGCAATGCAGTGTGAATATGATGCTCTAATTTCAAATAACACATGGACACTTGTACCTTTTTCATCATAAATGAATGTTGTTGGAAACAAGTGGGTTTTTAGAGTAAAGTATAATGCTGATGGCTCTCTTCAAAAGTATAAAGCTCGGTTGGTAGCCAAGGGGTTTCAACAAACCCCGGGATTGGACTATTTTGATACCTTTAGTCCAGTTATTAAACCTTCAACAATTAGAATTATCCTCACTTTGGCTGTCACCTACAATTGGGATGTTCAAACAATTGATGTGAATAATGCTTTTCTCAATGGAACTCTAAATAAAGTTGTTTACATGGTGCAACCTCCTGGTTTTGAAGATACTATGAAACCATAGCATGTGTGCCGATTAAACAAAGCTTTATATGGGCTCAAACAGGCCCCTAGAGCCTGGTTTGATAGACTGAAACAAGCACTTCAGAACAAGGGATTCAGAAATTCTGTATCAGATTCAAGTTTATTCATTCTCAACCAAGATGCACACATCACTTATGTTTTGGTTTATGTTGATGATATCTTACTAACTGGATCTCATATGGCATATGTGAGTACCCTTGTGCAGGAACTTAATGATCAGTTTACATTGAAAACACTTGGCTCTTTAAAGTATTTTTTTTAGGCCTTGAAGTTACCAGGACAACCACTGAAATTCATCTAAGACAGACCAAGTATGCCAATGATTTGCTGCAAAAAACAAAGATGATGGAAGCCAATTCATGTGTCACTCCTATGACCACAGGATCAAAGCTGTTTCTAATGGATAGTGAACTATTTTTGGATCCCAATTTGTATAGGAGTACCGTGGGTGCTCTTCAATATCTCACTTTAACAAGACCTGATGTCAGCTTCATAGTGAACAAGTTAAGTCAATTTTGGTATCAGAGCCTTGATTAACGTCAATGGCTGATAGCTTCGATCCTTCTATGTTCTTCACTCTGGAAAAGTTTTGAACAGCTCACTCAACTAATTTGTTCCTTCAGCTTTTTCTCTGGTTTAAAGTCGTGAACCCTAAACTTACCCGCGACAACTATCGATTCTGAGGTCGTAGATTCTTTGCTGTTGGAGCTCACGAGTTGGAAGACTACTTAATTGGTAATTACTTGTCCTTCTCCAATAATTGTTACTAAAAGACTGTTACTGAGTCAATTCATGGTTCTAAAGAAAAGAAAGTGAAATAAGGAAGAAATAAATCCAGCCTATGTGAGTTGGAAACGTAAGACAAGTTCTTAGTGACCTGGTATTAGCTTCAATTTCTGAGAGCATGTTCGATTATGTATCAAAACCATTGTCGCTCCTTGCGACTCTAGAACTTCACTTAAAAAATTGTTGCAACAACTCAGAAGAAGACCTTAGTATTGATAGTTATGTTAAGAAATGAAGAAATAGCCTCAGTCTGTCTGCAAGTGGACAGATTGTATCGGATGAAGACTTCTTCAGTATGTTCTTGATGGACTTGGTCCAGAATTGATGCAGCATTGTAATCTCACTTCAAGAATGAGTCTAAATCAGACTCTGTGAGTTTACAAGAAGCAAAGTTTCTGTTGCAAAAGTATGAGGTTAGGCAGAAAAGTTCAACACGTTGGAATATTCTAACAGTTCAGCGAATATAGCAACTACTAGTCAGCAATAACCTCTCTGAAAACTGAAAATACTGGTCCCTCACTCAATCTGATGCACATCACATCAGACTCATCACTCTGCTTATCAGTACCTGTGAGTTACAACTCAGTCTGGATCTTCTAGCACCTATAATCAGATGCCTATATTTCCATATGAAGGTTCTTGGAACAATTATAGACCTCTGTGCATACTAATTTTGGCAGAGGCAGAGGTAAGTTCAATAATAGAGGGAACCAATTTGCCAAGTCTGGGCAAACCGGGACAACTGCTATTCAGTGTTACCACCGATATGATTCATCCTACAGTGGAGGTTTTCAATCTGGAGCTCAGTTTCAGTCTGGTGGACCTGGTGTTGGAGGTTTTCAATCGAAACCAGTTTCATCTGGTGTGGTGGTTTTTTAGAATAGTTTTCGACCTGGTGATTGGTGAAGTTGGGTTTTCAGTCTAGAAACAATTATCAGTCTGCTATTTCATCCACCATCACAGGTTGCTAATGTCATGAATGGTTCTCAGTATAATCCCTCTGTCTCACTGTGGTGTTAATCAAGTTGCAAGGACTTTCTCAGTTGATCAACCTGTTTATACCGGCTTACCAAGTCAACAGTCATCTGCTGGTTTTCAATTTGGCCCGCAAGCACATATAGTATGCATCCACAACAGTGTTCAGATCTTCCTTTGAAATGCAAACACTCCTACTATCCAGTCTGGTACATGGATTCGGGGCTATGATACATTGCATCTGATCCAGCACACTTGAATGTTAGCAAGCCTATGAAAGGACAGATAGTTGCAAGTGGGCAATGTGAGTTGTTGCACATCTCTCACACTGGTACCTCTTCTTTACCCAACAATTACATTCCAAATGTCTTATCTCAAATATTTTGTGTGTTCCAAAAATTACAAAAAATCTACTTAGTATTTCTAAATTTACAAAAGATAACAATGTAGTTGTGGAGTTTAATTCTCATTGCTGTGTTGTAAAGGACAAAGTTACCAGGGCAACACTCTGCAAAGGGATCTTAAGGCAGGGCTTTATCAGCTGGTGATACTCCAAATCTATCAGTTCAACCCTCTGCCTTAGAAAACTCTTCCTTAAGGTCACCCTCTAAACCTAGTATTGTCTCACATTCATGATGCTAGTTCTTAAGTTCATCATTAGATCCTGTTTTTAGGAATAAAGTTGGCAGTGACAAACTTAATAACAGTCCTGTCTGCTCTAGTGCTACTGAATCAGAGCAACACAACAATGTTCTTTCTTGTATTTAGATTTTATAAACAACATATCTCTTCTGTACTTAGATTTTAGCAATAAAAACAGTGATATTATGACTCTGATGTTTCCTTTATTAGTGATAATCAAATGTCAATAGAGTGATTGTGATGTGACTGTGTGCTATAATGAATCTTCTTTTGTGTGGTTAATGATAATCAAGAATGTGCAAATTCTATCCATAAATGCATCATCATGAAAAATCTATCTCTCATTGTGCATATCATACTGAACCATGTCAACATGTGCTTTAACTGTGAAAATTGTTTGATTCTATGATTTGGCATAAAAAGTTAGGACACACACATCAAAGCATATCAACATATATGAGCTCTTTACTAAAGAAATACATCTAATTCTATTGAGTTTTGTGACGCTTGTCAATAGGAAAAATGCATCACACCACTTTTCCTAGATCAGCATTTCGAGTAGGTTCACCCCCTTGAACCATTCAAATCAGATACAAAATTTTCTTCGTTCTTTCTCCTCTGTTTTTCTTCTACTCTCTACTGTTGTTCATATACTTCACAAATGTCATATACCCCAATTATTTTATTATGTGTTATAAATTAATTAATATAAGCTTCATGATATGTTATCTGTTTAATAATATTAACCTGTGAGATTCATAAGAATAATGTACTTTTTCGAATAAATGAAACAAACATTCGATATCGAATAAATTAATATTTCCGAGCTTATTTTAAAGATTGTGCGACTGCACTGTGCATCAACCGATATTGTTAGTACGTAATTGGGTAATCATGGCCATGGGGAACGAACGGGAGAAAAACATTTTTTAATTGTCAATGGGTTGAACTATTTTCCCACCCTAGGTTTTAGCTAAACTACAATATCATTATTTTGATTTGAAGTGTTAATCTCCAAATTAGGTTGTATACGAGCCGAGTCGAGCTGAACACCGTGGTGTTCGAAGCTCGGCTTGTGAAAATTTAGCGAGCTTGAGCTTGAGCTTGGGTTCATCGAGCTTTGAAAACTAGGCTTGAAGCTCAGCTCGAGATGATTTGCTAAGCTCGAGCTTGGCTCGTCTATTTCTTCCTCTTCCTCTTGAACTAAATTACAGTGTTAAAAATCAAAATCAAAAGTCGAGTTTTGTCTGTGCCATCAAAATTACAGTACACCCATCTACCAAAATACCCAACCAAATTTTCACATCAAAATTACATTTATAATTATAAATAAATCACACACAAACAGATCACATCCTCTCTCTTCCGTGATCAAAAGATGAACTCAAATCCACCATAAAATAATTTAACAAATCGAACCCATATTTGGACTTACTACTTTCAATTACTTCAACATGTGAAGCATTTTGTAGAAGAAAATGTGATAGAATTTGAGGTGGGTCTGACTCCTCACCCAATAAGGCCTTGTTGAATGGGAGGATTACCCCCTCTTATAACCCAATAGGCTTGAGCGTGCCTAGTCGATGTGGGACTCTAACACTCCCCCTCACTGTCAAGCCCATATGTTGGGTCATGCCTGTTATTGGAGGTAGTTGCTTGCTCTAACTCCTCACCCGCTGGTCAAGCGCTTAGCTCAACTGAACCTGGGCTCTGATACTATGTTAGAATTTGAGGTGGGTCTAACTTCTCAACCAATAAGGCCTTGTTGAATGGGAGGATTACCCCCTTTTATAACCCAATAGGCTTGAGCGTGCCTAGTCGATGTGAGACTCCAATACTTCCCGTCACGGTCAAGCCCATATCTTGGGTCATGCCTGTTGATGGAGGTAGCTGNTGGCAAATCTAGAATACACAGTCCTCTCTCAGAATGGAGTGGTGAAACCAAAGAAGGTAGCCTTTGTGGGTTCGGGTCCAATGCCTCTAACATCTCTTATAATGGCTTCACATCACATGAAATCCACACACTTTGATAACTTCGATATCGATGAGGCGGCCAATCATGTGGCTCGGAAAATTGTTTCTTCTGATGCCGAGTTTGAAATGAGGATGAAATTTCATACTTGTGACATAATGGAAGTGAAGGAGAAGCTAGGCGAATATGATTGCATATTCTTGGCAGCTCTTGTTGGAATGAGTAAAGAAGAGAAAGTGAAGATTCTTGGACATATTAGGAAGTACATGAAGGATGGAGGAGTTTTGCTGGTGAGAAGTGCAAATGGAGCAAGAGCATTTTTCTACCCAATTGTTGAGGAGAATGAATTGATGGAGTTTGAAGTTCTCTCCATATTCCATCCAACAAATGATGTGATCAACTCAGTCGTTCTCGTTCGCAAGCCAATCTTTTAAACAAGAGAAGGATAATTTGCTTTCTTTAATAAGATTGCCAGCTACAATATTGGCTTCGTGTGTTTTTATTTTCCTCCGATTAAAATAAATTGTTATCTGGTTTGTTTTGCTCTAAATTGTAAGTGTGCTTCCATGTAAGGTATTTTCTATAAGTTAACACATTGAATCTCTTTTAACAATGGAAGACTAAAATAGTCATTTACATATCTCAAATTACTTACCCCCAATTCAATCCCAAAATTTGACATTCACATAAATCATCTCCCCTCTTCTGCCGCCAGTGATTTGGAGTTGATTTCGGTCAATTTTGGTTCCGATCGATTTTCTCACCAAAATCTATCGAAATCATCATTTTATCATTTTCCAACCTTGATAGCCCTCGATTTGACTAATTTTTGATGAATCTAGCAACCCAACTCCACCACACGACAGCCATTTCCAGCCTTTTTGGCATGTACCCGACATTGTTGGCCTTCCCCGACACCACCATCTTCCTCCCCTCAGCCCTCTCACCAAAACCCCTATCATACCTTATCTGTTTACTCTGCCAATCGCCGGCCATCGATATCTTTTGGGCCGTGACTTCTCAAGCCTTTTCTTATCAATCTTGGCATTGGAAATCACCCATTTCACCACCCATCACTTCTCCAACATCTACTCTCCAAAACCTCCCACCAACCTAACCTTGTTAGCCTGTCGATTGTTGTTCACCTCTCCTAGTGATTTTTCATTTCAAAAGGCAAAAAAAATATATATATATATGAAATAATTTTTTTAATATATGCTTATATTATTAGAGGGCCCCAAAGTAACTCCTGTCTAGGGTTACAAATGTTCTAGAGACGGCCCTGTAAACTAGACTATATAAAACTGGAGGTACAAACTTGCTATTTTGTTAAACTTTGGGTGGGAATATATATAAAAAGTTTATAATAAATTTGGGCTTTTATGGCTTTTTTGGGGCCCTTTGGCTTAGACAAGAAATTATAAACCATTTTCATTTTTGTAAGATATTCAAAAAAAAAAAAATTATAAAAAATTTGGGGCCCCATTTTTTTGGGGCCCTGGGCAGGTGCCTCACCTGCCTACCCCTTAAGTCAGCCCTGGTCAAGAGTACTGCCCTTTTATCAGTACTACATTTCCAGAAATGTGACTGGGGCAAGTAGTGAAAAGTGAAAACAACGGCTCCGTTTGGTTCAAAATTTGGGGGTTTTGGGAAAAGTTTTTTGAAAAAAGTTAAAAAAAAGTTGAATTGGGCGGGTATTATGATGTAGGATTTATAAATTAATAAAATACCCTATATATTTATCTTTTTTACAAAATACCCCCTATAATAAAACATTAAAAGTTAACAAAAATACCCCTAACCCACCCTCAAACACCCCCAGTAGGCCACCACCACCGGAGGTGGCCGGAGTCGCCTTATGGGCGCATGACCGGCTGGATCTTGCCGGTCATGCGCCGATATGGCCTTTTCCGGCCAGATCCACAGTGGATCTGGCCGGCAAAGGCCAAATCTGGCCGTCAACCGCCAGCATCTGGCCGTATTTGCTCTCAATGACGGCCAACAAATGGTCGTCGTTGACCTAGATAGCCCACTAACGGCCAGATCAGGGGTAGTGCGCCATCCTACCAGATTCGGCCATTTTCCGGCGGTGGTGCGGGAATCTGGTAAATGTGGATTGTTGGGGTGTTTTGTATTTTAAAAAAAAAATTTAGGGGTATTTAATTAAATTAACAAATTTAAAGGGTTTAAAAAAAATTGAATAATATTGAAAATAGTATTCCCAAAAATGAGAGTTTTTGGGTATTTTACTGTTAACTTTTTTGGGAATACTAAAAGTAGTATTCCCAATCTTAAACCAAACGAAGCCACGTCTTTTGAAAGTGCCCAAATCTTTATGCTAAATAATATTTGCTGCAATATGCGTACTTGTTTATTTTCTGGAAGCTCCCCAACAAAATTACACTTCATAAATCGGCGCCTCTAAATATTAATGTTAGAAGCTTCAATGGTTTTATGTGCTTCATTACCATGCAATATTTAAGTGGCATATATCTTACTATAAACACTTAGATCCTAACCGGGCCGCTCGGGAGGATTTCCTGAACTCGCGGATATGTTATCCTCCGCGGACCAGGCTGTGGCTCGGTCCGGCTGATCGCCATAGCATGGCGGGGTGCACACGCGAAATGCCCTTTCCTTGTCGGCCATCTGGACTGATTTTACATAGCATTCGCGAGACGCGCTTGTGATCCGACCCTCCCCTATCCCGTTGGAGTGGGGAACTTCATCTTGAGATGATAAATGGAAGTGACTGCCCTGAAAGTTCTCAGTAGAGGTCACCCCAGGATTCCATTGAAGGCCGATGGACAGTCACGACCAAGAATTCTGTAACCCTAGTCACCTCGTCGTAGTCGCCAGCGTGATGGTAGTTGGATCGTTCCATTGGGGATCAGGTGTCCCTGTAAAAACCGTACAAAGGATCGAGGCTGGCTTCAGGTCGCCTCGACCAGGTTCATTCTATCGAAAGCGGACTTGAACAGAATGTTCACAGTGCTTCCGTTGCCACAAGCATTCTGTGCATTATGACACCTATCAGGGGGGTGATTACCAGGCATCCTCGTGAGGATGGTGCAGCGAGCTGCCTCTTTTTACAAAAGGTGATCGGTCCTCTTTTCGGGCTTTTTGAGGTCGCTGCGAAGTGTTCATTACCCTAATAGGTCGTGGCGAGCTTCGCGAGCATATCTTTCTGCGCTCCTCGCGTGTTTTGCGAGGTGCGGACCTCCGAAGATTATATTAACACTGTCGTACCCGCTGCGATCACGGCGCTTTTTTTCGCTCCCCTTGGTTTTCTTTTGGGGAATCGTCAATGTACTCCTTGAAGTGCCCTTCTTGATGAGCTCTTCGATAGAGCCTGTTAGAGCTCGGCATCATCGGTGAGATGCCCATTTTCCGATGATAACGGTAGTACTTTTTGTTGTTTCTAGCGTTAGCGGGGGTTTTCATTGGTTCAGGCTCACCGAGCAGGTAGCTTCCTCGGATTTGTCGAGGATCGCTAGATGGACACATTCAACGGAGTGTATTGGGTCCCGTCGCGGTCGCGACGGGGGACAGGAGCATAGGACTTTTTTGCTCGTAGCGGGGTTTCTCCCTTTTCGCTGACGTCAATGTCTCCCTTGCGATCAGTCGCCTATTGTCTCCCAGACCTGACATACTACTGGAAGTGCCGTGAGCGCGACGGCGGAGTGCCGCCAGTGAATTCTCTATTCGGAGATACTTTTCTGCCAGGTTATAGAATCTGGTGAGGGAAATATCGTCCTAGCGCTGTTCTTTCCACAGTTCGGTTTGCGGGCGAACTCCAGCTATTATAAGAGTTCGGATGGACTCTTCTGGTGCGTGAGCCACTTTGTTGAGCTCCCTGTGGAAGCGATCAATGTAAGACAGGGATTCGTTCTTTCTTGCCTTATATTGCTAAGGTAGCTCAACGGCATTGAAATTTCGGTTGGCTTGGAAATGCCGCAGGAACGTCGTGCTCATTGAGGCCACGAACTGATCGATCCCGCTGGGAGCGACCTTAACCACCGTTTGGCATGAGAAGTTAGTGTCACGGCCAAACAACGTCTTTCGCAAGGTCCGAAACCTGTGGAGCTCCATCAAGTCGTTTAACTCATATAAATGATCCTGCGGATCATAGTTTCCATCAAACGGCCGCATATCCGGCATTCTGAACCCTGGTGGAGTGGAGCAGCTAGCACTTCAGGAGAAAATGGGGATGTAGAGGCGACCTGTGCCTGTTCGTTTCCCTGCTCCCTTAACCTGTCCAGAGCTCGCTGCACTCCTCAATTCGTGGTAACGGAGCCTACTGGGTTGTTTTCACCCATGCGAGCCCGGCCTTCCCGGTTGCGTTCAGGGAGTTCGGAGGTCGGATCCCTCTCGCTCGGCTGGTATTCCCAGCGCGCTCGACACACGCTGACTAGAGGCGTGTGAAGGCGATGTATTGTGCGGGGCATTTTCACGACCCTCGCGGGGTAGGAACCGCCCGCGAGGTATGGAGGCCACCCGCATGAGAACGATCGGTATCGTTCTGCTGGTGGTGATAGGAATCACGCGACCAGCATTTTCGGTCGGGTTTGCTTGCGACGTGGCATGGGACAGATCGGGATCCACTTTTTCAGAGTCTCAGCTTTGCCGACACCCTGCTCGGGGCGCCTTTTGTATCGCTGGCCTTTGGGAGCGTAGGCTTACTTTTTGCACATTGCTTACCCTTGCGTTTACGCGCTGCAGTGCTCGCGCACGGGCTATCGCCTGCCGCGCTTTCGCGCGACCTGCAGGCGTTTTTGGCGGTTGTACTGCTCCGGCTGTCGCGGACAACATGCCTTGGTCCAGACGGTCCAACCTCTGGTTGACGTCTGGAGAGTATTGTCGAACCTCTCCAGGTAGCTTGGATAGCAGGGTCTAGTTGCGGAGCTGCTGGGGTATTCCCAACAGCATTTTGCGAAACTGGAGGTATGTTGGAAGGGGTGTCTCTGGGCTGGGGGGACTCCTTCGGCATGTGGTTCCCCTGCTCAGGTTCAGATTGGCGGGCCATTGTAGCTGTAAGACCAGTAGGTAAAGATTCTCCTGATGAAGGGTAGACGCTAAATCAGCCCCTCCTTCTAGCGCCAAACTGTTGATGCTCGTTTTCGGCACCAACCAATTGTCACGGGGATTATTATTTGATGAATTAACACACGTGTAATGGAAATATGGAGTGAATAAATGCAAAGAAGACTTTTAAAGTGGTTCGGATGCTAAGGTAGCAAATCCTACGTCCACTGATTTGTATTGTATAGTGTGGGGTCGGTCGCGAAGCGGACTGACGTACATAAGAGTTATGAAAAGTAAGTGTCTTTACAAGAGAGAGAGAGTGATTCTATGTAAAAAATGGCCGAATCCCCTAATGGAGGGGTCTTCTTCATTTTATATCAAATTGAAGCGTGTAATCATCATTAAATCCATGGGTTGGTGTGATTGTCAGGATATAATCTGGCTTTAAGTCCCATTTTCCTTTTTCCAAGCTGACTTCGCACGACTTGCTGCAGAGGAATGGACGCGTGTGAGCTCCATATTATTTTGCAGGTCTGACGTGTGCGTGTGCCCTGACG